CAAAGAAAGAAGATGAAAGCTTAATCTCTCTTGGTTTCTCAAGTTGCAAGCTTTAGTTGTGCACACATCCCCTACTTCAAGATTTGTTTTTATGCTCTAAGGTTGCTCAATCAATGGTTTATGACTATTGGAGTTTAATTGGAAAGAATCTATTACAATTTTGACAAGTTATTCAAGATCTTAGCATTGAGGGGTTGGAACTTATCCCCAAAGGTTGGACCTTGTAGTGTTTTCTTCATAGCACAAACGATTTCACGGTTTTGCACCCTAAACTAGAGTTGAACCTAAAACATGACGAGCAATATAAAGAGGATCAAATACATTAGGGGTTCCAAACCTTACTCTCAGTGGTTGGAACCTTAACCAAAAAATGCAATTTATATTTTTGTTTATCACCACAAAGAAAATACATTAAACAAAAAATCACATAATCAAGTTGGCTTTCATATAAAAGGAAATACATTCAAAAGAAATATTTGAAGGGATACGAAAATTAAATTAAAATATTAAAAACAATCAAATCTACGTTGCTATTCACATTTGGTTTTAAATTCATTAAAATAAAAAATAACAAATCTTTGGTGATGACCATGGTTCAATCCCTTAATTATGTTGACATTCCTCTTTCCGCAAATTTCACTTTGTTAAAAAAAAAAAAAAAAGAGCATGATGCATTCATTTATTGAATAATGTGAAAAAAGAACCCTTTTTGACATAATGTAGAGTGACAATCAACCGACTAGGATGTGAGCTTGATGCGTTCTGTCTGGTTTGTTGGGAGCCAATCAATCTTCTAAGATAATCTTTTGATTGCTATTATCCAGCTCAGAAGGTTTAGATTTAGGAGAAAATTAAGGTTGACAATCTTGGCTGCCAACGGTTTTTTTATTTTATTTATAATGTATGGTTTACTCAACTTAATTTATACATGATTATATATAAAGAGAATAGTATTTATTTGCCTTATTTCTTAAAAATTAAAAGGAAAATTATCTCAAAATTACGTCGTTTCAATAAATCTCTATTGAAAAAGATTAAAATACCTTATTTTTAAAATGTAAATTAGAGTATTTTTTGTCATTTCCTGTAATATTTTATTAAAATTACATAATTTTAGAATAATTTTTCTCTTAATTTTTAAAAAGTAAGATGGATAAATACTAAACCCATAAATAAATATATATATATATCGATTTATACAAACATTGGCAATTTGTCTCTTATCTTTTGTTTTTAATTTACTAGTAGATTTTTTCAAGTCAATTTTCACATATTTCGACATTAATATTTTTCTAGACATTTTTAAAAGTGTAATTCTCATATTGAGTTAATTTATTTAAAAAAATTATTTTATTCTATTTTAATTTTTTTTAAGTGATAATTATATTGATAACATTAATATTTGTTTTTGAAGGATAGGGAAACTCAAACCTGAGATTTGAACTTTACATCACTAATAATGCCATCACTTTATTTTGTAAAGAGAATTGTAACCATTTGGACCACTTAAATGAATAATAATTTATTTGAAAATTTTAATTTTTTTTTTAATATCGAGCTTACAATATATTAAATAATACTTATTATTAGATTCCATTCTTGAAATTCAATCCCCTTCATAAATGGTCAATATTCTGTGTCATGACTACAAAATCACCATCTCTAATCATTAATTGATTATTACCTTCTT